CTGGCTTGTTGTGGGTTGCCTGTGGCACCTGAGAGCCTCTGTTTGTTGTGGTGATGGTTGCCACAGCGGGCTGCACCTGGGCAGCCCTAGGCTGCCTGGCCATCTGGGCCCAGCGACGGTGGACACTGATGGTGACTGGCAGCCCAAGGCCTGTTTCTAGGCTGTCTCCATGGCAGCCTCACCCACTCTGACAGCTGGTGTGGCTGCCCCACGGAGCCTGTGTCCCTCCTGACGCAGGCCCAGTGTCCCCAACAGGTGGGTGGGCATGAAGGCCTGGCCACGCGCTCACCAAGGAGGAGGGCAGTACCCATTTATCCAGCTGCAGATGTGGAAGTGCCCTTGACAGTGGGAAAACTAGGGCCTAGTGAAGGGAGGAACATTATAGGACAACCTCAGATCCCAGGGCTTGGTAGGCTGGAGCCAGAGGAAGGTGAGAAGGGCCAAGGGCGGAGATAGTGCAGGATGAGTGTGACATGAACCCCCAGCAGGAAAGGACCAGGTCTGCAGGAGACCGGTGGTGTGGTCAAGGCCCTGGGGCCTCCACGCAGAGCTTTAATTTTTAACTGGAAGTGTTTCAGATTCTAGTTACGAAAAGCTTCAAGTCAAGATTAAAAACTGCCTGTAATTCTCATGACTTAGGATGGATTTTTTCACTTCTGCAGAGAGGCTGCTGGTCATATAACCATAGTGACCATTTAACGCATTCTCACTGAGACCTGGGGCCCTGTGTGGGCAGTTAGGTGGCAATTCTTCTGCGTTCTGTTCCACATGTATGGCTCGTGGACTGTGGCTTTGACGGACTTTGAAGTGAGACCCATGCAGCCCTGATAACCAGGAGTGTGAGGTGCAGAGGAGGGCGCTGTGCCTGGGGTGTAGAGCTGGGATTTGCTGCAGCTGCCATACTCCAGGCCAGTGCAGCTCATGGCTAGAACCTTGCCCAGATCCCCTGGGCTCAGAAAGTGTCTTTGACTCAGAGGCAGGGCAGAAGTGGCCTCAGGAGCTGATGGCCCTGCATACTTTGGAGTGTCTGTTTTATTCTTGCTGTGTACAATGTCTGGGTCTAGGGAAAAGCAGGAGACCACTGAGTCTCCAGGCATGGGTGCTGTTTCCTTCCTGTTCAGCGTGAGACCCCAGGCCTCAGAACTCACCCTGAAGGAGAGATGCTGTGAGCCGATGGCCTGGCCTGTTGGAGTCTCCAAGTCAACAAACTCAGGAGAGATTCGCAGTCAGACCCCTCGTGCAGGACTTGCTGTGCAGGCTGGGGCAGGTGGCTTCACCTCTCTGAGCCTCAGTTTCCCCAAGTAAAGTGAGGCTAGGAGCTTTCCCTGTGGGCTTGTTAAAGCTTCTGGGATAGCAGATGGGAAAGCCCACATGTGTGGCCCGTGGACTGTGGCTTTGACGAACTTTAAAGTGAGACCCATGCAGCACTGATAACCAGCTGTGTTGCCTCATCTTACAATAGGATGAAAACACCTCGCACCCTTGTGATCAGGTAATTGATACACATGGTACCGGGGTAAGCGCTTAGTAGGCGCTCAGTGCATGTAGCTACTGCTGCTGCTGCTGTTACTCTGTGGAAGTGGTTGTTTTCTGAAGTCTCTGCACCAAACCCTGGTGCAGTAGGTGTGGCGGGCCTCTGGGTCAGGCTTGGACTAGGGCTGGGCTCTGTTGTCGGCCTCCAGGCCGCAGATGGAGGCACCTAGGGGCCTGGCATCGGGGGATCCCTGGGTAGCTTCTGGTTGCAGCTGTCTGTTTGCTTCATGCCTTGCTCTGTTGGCTGCCTGGATGGACCCTGGGATCCCCATCCCCCCAGGTCTGTTGTATTTCATGTTGTCCTGGGCCTTGTCTTTCCAACAACATCCCCATCGCCCCTCTTACCGGGGAGCTAAGCTGCTGGGCCTGCGAGTCTGGCTCCAATGAGCCGCTGAGGTGGCTGTGGCTGTGGCTGCCGGAGCCAGGTTCAGACCAGATCTCCTTGGCAGGCAGCAGCAGAGCCACGGGCAGTTTGCAGAGCCTGGGTGGCCAGGGCCTCAGTGAGTCAGCAGAGTGGGTGTGGGTGGTGGTAGGGGCATGGGAGGTGGCAGGCGGGTGGTGGGGCTGCGCCTGGGTAGTGGGAAGGAAGTTCCTGTCTTTACAGGGCAGGCATGTGACCAGCATATTTCTGCTTTGAGTGGTTCTGGGGAGCCATGTTGGACTCCCGGCTCTGCCACCCGCTAGGTGCTAGGTGGCCCAGACAGGTCACTTCCCTCCTCTGGGTAATGGAGCCTGTCGTCAGGGAGCCTGGGGCTGGCCCTGGATTCAGGCCCACTTTCTCACCTGGCAGGCCCTGATACCTCTGCGCTTTGCTTTTCCCATTTGTAAAATGATGACTGTGCCTCCTTCAAAGGGCAGCCCTCACTAAGGAGAGCTCCGTCTGCGTGCCAGTCTGCCGTGTCCAGTGAATTCTGACCCTTTTTTAGTACCAGCTGAGTGTCGGGCACTTGACTATGCTCTCTAAGCTTTCTGAGAGGTGTGGCCACTGGACCCTTGCCTGTCCCTAGGAGTGGGAGTCAGGGAGCTGCTGCCTTAGGACTCGGGAGGGGAGCAGAGAGAGCTTTGCAGGGTGGGAGAGAGGTGGACACCTGGCATCAGCCTCCAGGGTGAGTGGGTCCCAGCAAAGCTAGCCTGGAAGGCAGCCTGGGCTGGAATCTCAGGTGCTTAACTTCCAGTTGCCCTCCCTGGGGGCCTAGCCCTCTTCATCTGTGTGTGGTGTGAGTCCCGTCCTCCTGCCTGCAGCCCTGAGGCCCCTGGACAAGGCATGCTGCTAGTGCTGGCTGGACCCTTGCCAGACCCCTTCTTACACTGCACTCCTCTTGGCTAGGCAGGCAGAGTGGTGGGGGATACTTCACAGATGGAGAACTGAGGCCCAGGCAGGTACTGTAATGTGCCCAGTGGACAGGGTTGAGACAAGGCCCCGGGGCCCAGCCTCCAGGCCTGGATCTGTCCTGCTTCTGCCCCTGTGGGGCTGGTGGGCCTGCCTCCCCGCTTTGTGGGGTCCTCAGTTATCCTCCACCTCTTACAGCCTGGCTTGGAGGGAGTGAGCTCCCAACCTGGATAACAGCAAAGCCTGGTGCCATAGTTTTCTCACCTGCACCATAGGGATTAAGTAGCTCTGCCCTCAGGTCGTGGTGAGGGTTGAGGGAGCTGACCCTGAGCTAGGATGGGTGTGGTGGCCCTGGGAGCATCACGGGGCCATGGGCGCCACTTCTTTCACCTCCACCCCGACCACTGCCAGCAGCTCGCAACTCACTCACCTAGTGCCCTCACTTCAAAGACAGGGATGCGAGGCCCAGGGATGGCCCAGCATGTCCTAGAAAGCACAGGGGACGTGGAACCAGCAGGCCTGGGTCCATATCCCAGCCCTGCTTCCTACTCATTGTGAGACTCTGGCCACTGTTGCTTCTCTTTGGGCCTCGTTTCCTAGTCTGAGCAGCAGGTGGTGGAAAGAAGGCAGCTGCCTAACCTGTTCTGGGCTCCAGACTGCGCACCTTATGCTCGACATCATAGTCTTCCCTGTAGATTTTTCCCTGTAAGAGTCCTTTTTGAAGTCAGTGTCCCTGTTGTGCAGACGGGGAGGCAGAGACTGAGAGAGGGACAGGGCTCACCTGCGCATACGACCTGTGGAGCTACACCCGGGGCATGGCCTTGGACCTGGGCTGTGCATAACGCCCACCAAAACCCAGCCCAGTGTAGCCGCAGCTGTGACCCTGACCAGGTATCTGCTCTAAGCCTCCAGCCACCTGAGGTGGGTGTCTGTTTGAGAGTAATAGGTGGAGAAATCAAGGCTCAGGGAGGGGATGGGCTGCAGAACTGGGACCTGGTTGGAGCTCTGACTACCTCAGGCGCCCCCACCAAGGTCAGTGCAGTAAGTAGCAGATGGAGACTGGCAGTCTGCTGGGGCTGTTGTGGCAGAGTGCCACAGTCTGGGGGCTTCAGCACCAGGGAGTCAGTGTCTCATGGCTCTGGGGTTTGGGAGTCCAAACTCCCGGTGTTCTTAGGGCAGGTCCCTTCTGATGGCTGTGTGGGGAGGCTCTGTTCCAGGCCTCTCTTTGGCATGCAGGTAGCTGTTTTCTCCCTTGTCTCTTTACCCATCTTCCCTCTCTGTGTCTCTGTGTCCAGATTTCTTTTATAAGAACACCAGTCACACAGCTTAGGGCCTACCCTACTGACTTCATTTTAATGTAATTATCCAGTAAAGACTCTATCTCCAAATAAGTTCATATTCCGAGGTAATGGGGGCTTAATATTTCAACATATGAATTTGAGGGGGACACATTTCAACCCATAACAGACACGACATAGGACTTCTGCATGGGTCAGGAGTGCCAGGGCCTGACAAAACCTCAGCTGCTTAGACCCGGCCCTGCATGAGACCTGGGTGGCCAAGCCCCATCCCCATCTGTAAGATGGCCTGGCCAAACTGTCCAGCTGAGTGCTGGAGCATGTGTGGCCTGCAGGTGCAAAGTGGGGTCGGGCAGCTCTGGGGTGATGCCTAGGGGCCAGCACTCAAGTTTCCAAGGATAGGCCGGGCTTAGACTCTGAGGGGCTGGGAAAGTGCTGTCTTGGAGCAGAACTGAGCTTGGGTTAGGTGTTGGCTATGCTGAGGGGGCTCCAGTGGCTCCTTGGTTCCTCAGGCCTCTCTGTTTCCTGCTGTTACTTGTGCTTTTCCCTCTGCCTGGTACCGTTCCCTTCTTTTCCTTGCTAGGACAGTGGATGCTCAGCCTTGGTCCACCTCCGTCTCCTGATGCCTCGGCCTGGCCGCATGCCCTGGACACCAGGGGCTCCCGGGCCCTCTTATGGCACTGACCTCACTGACCCTTGGGTATCTGTGTCTGAGACCAGAAGCCCCCTGGGGGGGCCTGAGTCATCTCTGTCCCCAGCTTTGTCCAACTCAGAGGGAGCCCAGGGGTCGGTGATAGACTGAGGGACTGACCAGATACCTTGCCTTCTCTCCATTCTAGGAAAATCCAAGAGGAAGAAGGATTTACGGATATTATGTGTGTCCAAGCCACCTGCGCCCAACCCCACGTGAGTCTGCCTCAGTTTCTCCCACAGCTCAGCCTGGAGGACTTCCTGAATGGGGCCCAGTGAGAGGAGCAAGAAGGAGGTGGAATTGGCCCAGCTTTGCTCCTTGTCCTGTCCTGAGCAGTACCCATTGTGAGGGCAGGCGGGTGGCTGTGGGGGGTTGTACACCATCCATGCTCTGGGCCCCCTTCTCATTCCATCTTGGAGGCTCTGCCCAAAGCCACTCGGCAGTGAGGCCATGCCTGGCTTAGCCATTTATGAGATGAGGTGACCTGAGGCACTGCCTCCTGAGGCCAGGATGTGCCCTGTCCCCATGCCAGGCCTGTTTGTTGGGTGTGGTTCTCTCCGAGGCTCATAGAGTCTGCTTTCTCTGCAGAGCCCCCCGGAACCTAGACTCTCGGACCTTCATCACCATTGGAGACAGGGTAGGTGTCAGCAGTCCCTCTTGACAGGGCTTCTTATTGCATCTGACCCTGCAGGACCACTGGGAGGGAGGTACCTGTGGGTGGCAGGCAGTGTTGGGCTCCGAGAAGAAGCCCTGTGTGGCTGGTCGTGTGGCCCTGGGCTGCCCACCCACTGACCTTCCTCTCTGGAAGAGGGGCCATCAGCCTGCCTTTTGGGGCCATGGTGAGCTCAGGGCTGGCATAATTTCTGACCTGAGTTGGTGCCATGGGCCTGCTGCACCTGTGTTTCCTGGGGGATAGTGTGTTGAGCATGCAGACTCCTGGACCTACCTAGCCCTACTGGATCAGACCCTCAGGTCTGCATTTTATATACACCTCAGAAGCTTTGGGAGGGTACCAGTCATTGAGAATCCTGGCTCAGAGATCCTATGTTACCTGGATATGCCCAGGTCCTCCCAGCAAAGACCCTGCTACAGAGGCCTCTCTGCAGCAACACTTTCTCCTAGGCTCATAGTATCTCCCAGACAATCCCTTACCTGGTGTCCTGGTCCATCTATTCACTTATTCCTTTTTTGTGTGTTTCTCCCACCAGAGGGAAACCTGTTAGATGTACTCTAACCAGCTGAGTGGTGGGGAAAGAGGGAAGGGCACCTCACAAACTTTCTGTGCTGGTTAGGGTATTTCACAGGCCATGTTTTTTATAGATCACAACAGCCCTTGGGTGTTGGTGCTGCACCTGTTTTATAGAGGTCAATGTGAGACTCAGAGAGGTTAACTGACACCCAGGGTCACACAGCAGGGAGTGGCTGGTACGGGGTTGGAGCCCAGCTCTGACTGACTGGGCTTCTCTTTCCACTGCCTCGCTACTGCCTAGCCATCTCCACTGGGTGAGGGGTGAGGACCAGCTCCTGACTTGACAGCTAGCGACCCTCTTTTTTGTATCTCCTAAGAACTTTGAGGTGGAAGCTGATGACCTGGTAACCATCTCGGAGCTAGGCCGTGGAGCCTATGGGGTGGTGGAGAAAGTGCGGCATGCCCAGAGCGGCACCATCATGGCTGTGAAGGTAAGTGGGGCCCGTCCTATTCCCTGCCAGGAGCACCAGGGGCTGGAGGCAGCTGGGAAGGCTGCCTGCAGGAGGCATGGGGCTGAGTCCTGCTGTGTGACCTGGTCTCTCTCCCTGACTAGTGACAAGGCCAGACTTTTCAGCACAGGCTGGGCTGTGGCCCCTGGGGCTTCTGGCCCTCATGTAACAGGTGGGGAGTGGTGGCCCCTGAACCACTCTTTTCCCCACAGCGCATTCGGGCCACCGTGAACTCGCAGGAGCAGAAGCGGCTGCTCATGGACCTGGACATCAACATGCGCACGGTCGACTGCTTCTACACCGTCACCTTCTACGGGGCCCTCTTCAGAGAGGTGTGCCGGGTGTGGGGAGGGTACTGGGCTGTGGGCTGGGAGCATGTCCCTCAGCCTATCTGTCAGCTGACACCCACCGCCACTCAGCTACTCCAGTGTCAGGTGCTGGGAGCATGGGGGAGCTTAACATAGCCCCTCCTGGCGGCCCAAGGGATGGCACAGCTGGGCTCCTGGAGCACCGGCCCTGCCAGACCACCTGGCTCCCTGCTTCCTGGCTGCGACTGCTCCACTCTGTGTCGCTTGTCTGTAGAATGAGGCCGGTGATGGTAGGTGCCTCCTTAAGTTGATGTGGAGGTTCAGTGCATCCCGTGAGTGCTGCTCTCGGTTGTGTTGTATCACCATCTACCCCTCAGGAGCAGCATCTGGGGGCAGGGAGGCAAGGGCTCCAAGTGGGAGTAGCCAAGCAGGTGTTGGATTCTGGGTCTCTGGGGAGTGTGAGTTGTGGGGTGAGAGGAAGTGAGGCTGGAAGGATGGGCTGCCCTCCACCAAGCCAGGCAGGTGGTGTGAAGGGCTTTTGTGGCGGAGCCTGGAGGCCTGAGCCTGTGCTGGACGTGAGGGACTTGTGTTATTGATTTGCCCCTCGTGGAGCTATGGGTGGCTGGGGTGCCTGAGGCTAGCACAGAGGTCAGGGGTCCCCTGCCCTAGCCCTGCCCACTGAGTCCTGTCTCACTCGTGATGAGCTGAGTGCTCTCTTGCACCAACTCTGAGCGGATGGAGGCTGGCATCTGTGGGCATAAGGCTTCTTCCTGGCAGGAGGATACACAGGAGTCTGCTGGGGAAGAGGGAGTAGGTCCTTGCAGGCAGGGAACCATCTGTCAGGGTCAACTGGCATGAGACCATCTGTGGGGCAGTAGGACCGGCTCATGGGGTGAAGCTGACTCAGATGCACCCTGAGGCCCTGGGTGAGGGACAGCCAGGTTGTGTGTTAGTCTCTCCTTCCTGGGAATGCCATGGATTTACGGATCAGATGGAGGAGGCCGAGGTGGCAGAACTCTGCCAGGCTGACCCGTGGACCTGGCAGTGTAGGCAGGGCAGAGGATGGAGAGAAGTGGCAGTGGCTTAGCAGACTGAACTGCTGGGTGGACACACGTCTGAGGCCATGTGGAGGTGGGGTGTGAGGACTCGGGCACTGGCACAAGTGGTCCAGGCACGAGTAGCCTTGGCCGACCTGACTGAGCTCTGGGTTTCCATCCACAGGGCGATGTATGGATCTGCATGGAGCTCATGGACACGTCCCTGGACAAGTTTTACCGGAAGGTGCTGGAGAAAAGCATGACGATTCCAGAAGATATTCTGGGGGAGATCGCTGTGTCTGTAAGTGACCTGGGTGGGCTGGAGGTTCCAGGTGTGTAGCTAGAGGACCCACCAGGCACAGATTCCGGCCCAGTGCTGATGTCTTGGGCAGAGCTGGGTCTCAGTGTGGTCCCTGAACCTGTCCTCATAGGCAGCCTGGACCTTCTCACCGGGAGACCCTGGGGCCTGGGGTGCCTGGAGCCCCACAGATTTGGCAGATCCAGGTCTCCAGGACTTTGAGTGCAACTCTTGAGTTCCAGACCATTTTTTAAAAAGGAACTTAGTTCTTACAGTGGCTTTATACCAAAAATGCCTGGGGCAGCTCACAGAGATACAGGCTAAGTTGGGGGAAAGGTTAACATCCAAAACATTTGCATTTTGAGTCTTAAACAGTTCTAGAGAAGGGCAGCAGCACTGAGCTTGAGCATTCTGGCGGCCAGAGGAGAAAGAGAAGTGGAATTAATGATGCTCAGTCACTGAGAATCAGGATAGTTCTTGATCCTGACTGTGCCTGGAAACCTTTAAAACATACTTCTGTCTCAGGCTCCCCACTAAGTCTTCCTGAGGAGAACAGCTTCTAGCTGGTAGAGCACTTGGCCCCGTCACAGGAGGGGTGGGTGGTGGTGCCCACCCCTGTGGCGTGCAGTGTGAGAGAGTGAGAGGAAACTGGAGGCTGGGTGTGTCTGTACCAAGATGGCCAGGACACCGGGGGAAGGCTGGGCCAGGGCCAGGAGCCTGGGGAGAGGAGGGTCTGGCCTGTGCTGTGGGAGCGGGAGACAGGTGGACACGGGCGGGAGTCTTACTGCTCGCCATTGTTGATGCCACCAGGAATAACAACAATCCTGTCTCTCGCTTCTCTCTATTCTACTCCAGATTGTGAGGGCCTTGGAGCACCTCCATAGCAAGCTGTCGGTGATCCACAGAGGTTAGTGCCCTGTGGGGTGGGGCCCAGCCAGCGGGAGGGGTCTCTCGGACTAAGGCAGGTAGACAGCTCCCCACTTCCAAGATGAGCAGACAGAGGCTAAGTGAGGTGATAAGTTGTGACTTGCCCGTTGGGGTCCAGGCTGCTTTCCACCCACTCCCCCAGCTGCCTCCCTTCAGGTTTGCTGGTGCTTGGAGCAGGGCCTGGGTCATTTCCGTCCTGAGAAAGGCTGGCTGGCTTGTGTTTTGATTGTAGTTTCTGTGTCATGAAGCACAGAGTTGGGTACCATTCAACGAATCTGATCAAGTTCACACCCACATTCCTCCTTCCTGCCAAGATGCAGACATCCCCCAACTTGGCCTGGAACGTTCCCTTGCGTCCCTTCCCTTTCTTGCCCCCATGCTGTTGAGGCAGCCACTGGTCTGATTTTCCCACAGTGGACTGGATTGCTTGTTTTTGAATGTCCAGCCTTTGCTTGGCTGATGTTTCTGGACTCACTGAGGTTGTGTGTGGTCATCGTTCACTCCTTTTTGCTTCTGAGTACAAGGCCATTTTCCCGGATGTACTGCTTTTCAGAAAATAAATTAGGTTCAGCCTCCTTTGACCACTCTGTGCCTGTTCCAGCCCCTGCCCCAGGCCACTGTGGCTGGCAGTTTGGCATGGAACCTTCCAGTCTTTTTTCTTTGCCTTTCTACTCTTATACATGTCCCCACAGAGAGCCTGTGGATGTGTGTGTGTGTCCTGGGTGCATTTGCGTGAGGATTTCCTGCTGGGCTCATCTTCCACCAGGAATTTGTGGGAGGCTCTGTGTCCATACATGCAGATCCTGCCTCCTGGGCTCTGACTGACCCTGTGGTGCCCAGACATGTCCATCTCACTGGACCTTGCTTCTAGAGTACAGATGGTAGATGCAGGCGCAGCTCTCTGGGCTGAGTGTGCAGAGTCCTGCCTTCCCCTCCATGGCAGGGGCTGTGTCCCCAGATGTGACTGTGGGCAGGTGTGGCACTCCCTCACAGCCTTAGTCCCCTTGGCCCATCCTTGGGGATCTGGTGAAACCTGCCTGCTGGGCTACTGGGACATGGGATGGGGCACGGGCTGTTGGGGGGCGCAGACACACAGAATGGGCTGAGAAAGGCATGTCCCACCCCGGCAGATGTGAAGCCCTCCAACGTGCTCATCAATAAGGAGGGCCACGTGAAGATGTGCGACTTTGGCATCAGTGGCTACTTGGTGGACTCTGTGGCTAAGACAATGGATGCCGGCTGCAAGCCCTACATGGCTGTGAGTGGTCTCTGCACCCACCCCTGGCTCAGGAGAGGATGGGGCCATGCTGTCCATGTTCTCTGTCCATGTCCTCTGACTGTATTTCCTGCCACAGTGGGGCCACCTGCACCTGGCTGCCCAAGCAGTCCTGCTTTACCCCTGTTGTCACCTGCCCCCAAGTGCCCCATGTGGGTGATGAGTTATGTGGACAACCCAGAGGGAGGAGACTCAACATCTGTGAAGGTCCCACCCTGCCCCCATTGTCAGAGAGGAGGTCCCTTCGACTCTCTCCTAGGTGAGGGTGCCTGGGGCAAGGCTTGGGCCTTTGAGGAATGACCCAGGCCCTTGCCAGTCTCCGTCTCCTCCTCTGCCATGTGGCAGGTAGGGCAAGATGAGCACTTTGGGATGGGGTTTGTGATGGGGTGGGAAGTCCTAGCGGAGGGAGCCTTGGGTCCCGTACCTAGGTGGCCATTCACACCTCACTGGTCCTTCTTGCAGCCTGAGAGAATCAACCCGGAACTGAACCAGAAGGGCTACAACGTCAAGTCTGACGTCTGGAGTCTTGGCATCACCATGGTACTGTCTGGGGCAGGTTCCTTGCTGGTCAGGCGGAGTGGGGCGGGTTGGACCCAGGGCCATGAGCTTTTGGGAGGGCCTGTCAGATAGGTTAGGTCCTGGAAAGAAGTGTCAGTTTCAAAATCTGAGAAGAAAACGTGCCAATAAAAATTACCGTCCATTTAAGGGAATGACTGTGAGTGGCATTATTCCTTCCCTAATGGTCAGGGTCACCTATCACAAAAGTTCTCACCATTTGTGATAAGTCAGCCATGGGACCTTTCCCCAGAGCTCTCGATGCTTGTTGAGAAATCACAGCTAATCCCAAATTGAGTGAGCTGGCATGCAAATACTTTAAAAAGCAAAATGGTAAAAATTTTTTCAAAATTGTTCACAGCAAGAAATGGGTTGCCTGTGGGATCCTGCTGCATTTCCACGAATGTGGTAGGAGGGGATGGGTGGGACCTCCTTATCCTGGGCCTGTGGAGGCTGAAGACACCCCTGACTTGGGTAGGGTGAGGCAGTTGCAGCTTCAGTGTAGGGATGATGGGCCTGAGGGCCTCTTGCTCCTGCTAGAGTTGCTTGGCAGGCAGGTGTGGGTTGAAGCTTGTTTATTTGTGATTTGTGTTCAGCCTTCCATTTTAGAAAGTCATTATGGCACCCATGTGGACGATAGACCAGAGGGACAGGAAAATGCCTGGGACGTGTATCCCAGCTGGTTCTAGGAAGTTGTGCAGGAGACACATGTGGAAATCATAGTGGCCAGCAGCATGAATGAACCCGGCCTGAGTGGGCTCCAGCCCCCACACCCTATCCTACTCATGGAGATTAATGGAGTGTGTTCTGTGCATCAGTACCTTCTCTGCCCAGGGGAGAGCTTGGCCCAGGACACCCCTGCCTGCCCCAGTCTCTTTGGCTATTTGGTGTTGGGGGGAAGGGCAGTCAGACATAAGCCGTTGGATATGTGGGGTAAGTAGGTGAGCTATATGGGAGAAGGTGTATTGGTTGTTTTCTAACACCAACAACCCATTCTCAGATTTTCCAGATGCCCAGTGAGTGTCTTATAATTCAGTTTGCTTCCTATGTTAACTACCTGAGTTAGCGCAGACCCCACTGGCTAAGGGCTCAGTCCCACAAACCTGCCCCCACTTCACATGCCAGTTGGGAGTCCTGGATCTCCCATACTACTGACCTACCAGCTATAAATTGGGGGTTCCCCATGACTCTCTTCTAAGGTTTGATAATTTCCTAGAATGGCTTATGAAACTCAGGAAAACATTATTTGTGTTTATTGAGTTTATTTTTTTGTGTCGAGGTCTCACTCTGTTGCCCAGGCTGAAGTGCAGTTACACAATCATGGCTCAACCATAGCCTTGACCTTCTGGGTTCAGGTGATCCTTCCACCTCAGCCTCATGAGTAGCTGGGACTACAAGTGCATGCCATCACAGTTGACTAATTAAAAAAATTTTTTTTTGTAGAGGCAGGGTCTCGCTATGTTGCCCAGGCTGGTCTCAAACTCCTGGGCTCAACCGATCCTCTTGCCTTGGCCTCCCAAATTGCTGGGATTGCATGTGGGAGCCCGGCCTGTTTACTGGTTTATCATAAAGGATATAACTCAGGAGCAGGGGACGGGAGAGATGCAGAGCTCCCGTGCCCTCTGGCCTGCTGCTCTCCCAGCACCTGCCCCGCAGCTTGTTGAGCTTGTGGAAAGTTTTTATGGAGCTTGGTCCCCAGCACCTTCCTCTCTCAGAGGTTGGCAGGTGATACTGAAAGTGCCAATCCTCTAATCACCAGGACTCTCTGGTGACCAGTCCCTTTCTGAGGCTGTCTAGAGACTCCTCTAAGTCGTCTCATTGGCATCAGCCCAGGCACAATCTAAAAGGACCCCTTATGAATAACAAAAGCTACACCTGTCATGCTGGAAATTCTAAGAGTTTAAGAGCTCTGTGCCAGGAACAAATACCAAATGCATTGCTTACTGTGCCACTAGCTAAAGAAGAGTCGAGCAGGTGAGAGTGGCTCTGGGGACAGGTGGAAAGGCCACTATTATTTGAGATGTGGAGATCTTTTTGAGGAGGGTGCCCTGAGAAGCTGGGGGTAGAGCAGCCCGGGAGTGCAGGTGCAGAGGTCCTGAGGTGGGCCCTGCTGTGTGCCTGGGTAGCTGGATCCCAGGAGCGAGGGCTTAGAGGAGGTGGCAGAGAAGTGTTGGGGTTAGGTGTAGGGTTGACACAGATGTTTTGGATTTTACTGATGTTGTTGCCATAATTATCATTATCATAATGTGGCTGTAACCCTGCAAATTGTGTATCTGTCAATGACTAGGAAAGACTCAAAACCAAAGTAATTCAGTGAGATGGAACTGGGTAAAAACCTTCCCCTGCCCTCTTTTTTTTCTTTTGAGTCAGGGTCTCACTCTGTCACCCAGACTGGAGTGCAGTGGTATAATTATAGCTCACCATAGCTTCAACCTCCTGGGCTTAGATGATCGATCCTTCCACCTTGGCCTCCAGGGTAGTTGGGACCATAGGCATGTGCTATCTTGTCTGGCAAATTAAAAAAAATTTTTTTTGTAGAGATGAGGTCTTGCTCTGTTGCCTAGGCTGGTCTTGACTGGGCTCAAGCAATCCCTTTGCTGCGGCCTCTCAAAGTGCTGGGATTACAGGTGTGAGCCACTGCCTGGCCTCGATTTTTAAAAATATTGGTGACACATAGTTTTTTACTTAAGTTTTTCTGTCCTTTTGAAAAGGAATGGGGAGGAATATTTGAAGTCCAAAGGTGGGTACTATACCTGCAGATGACAGTTTTCTAACTCCTATGTCAGAAAATAAAAAGAACCAGATCTTGCTGTATTTATAGACTCCACAGAACTGGTTGGATGTTAGAGCCCCCACTTGTGACCACCTCACACATCTACACACCCTGCTTCCCTCCTTCTGTCATCCATCACCATTGCCAGGCGGCTTAGCTGCTGTACCTGGTGCTGGCTGGGGTCACAGCTGGGCTGGGCTAGAAAGTCCATGGAGGCGTCACAGACGTGGGGCTCCTCTGTGTGGCCTCTCCGTGGCTTCCTCACGCTGGGCTGCTCCTTGGGCATCCGCACAGCATGTGTTCACGTAATTGGAATTCTTTCCTGGTAGTTGGCATCTGAGAGGGAAGGCCTCCTAAGTGCTAGGCCTGGAACGAGCACAGCATGGCTCCTGCCTCATTGTATTGGTCAGTATTGGTCGGAGTGAGTCAGGCCAGCCCAGGTTCAGGGGCAGGGAATACTCCCTGCTTGGGGGCAGGGCAGGGGAGGTGGCACGTGGAGGGAGAGCAGGTACACACAGAGGCAGGTGGTGTGGGCACTCCAGAGACAGCTGCCCTGTCACAGGTTAGGTTTCTCCCCATGAGGTACAAAAACAACGGAAACTCGACTTAAAAACACAGAGATAAAGTCAAGGGAGTTCTATTAGAGACATACCTCATCTCCCCATTGCCAGTGCCAACAGTGGATATGTCCTTGTAGGCTGTGTGTAGCTTCTTTTTAAGAAACACATATTTTTAATTTTGTCCTTTACACTTAGCATCGTGTATTGCATCGTTCATATTTCTCTAAATTGTAATAAACCCTTGACGACATCCCTTCCAAAGACTCCATAACCATCCGCTGCCACCACTTCCTCACCAGTCCCCTGCTGGGGGTGTTTCACTTGTTTCTGATTTTTTCTTTCCATTTGAATCCTCGGTCACCCTAAGGGAGTGACTGGTGAGACAGTCAGGTGTGGCCCTCTGGGTGGGCTCTGGCCTCCACATCCTGTGAAGTGCCCTCTCCAGCTCTGTAGGCACCTGGTTTGTCCCACTGCACATGACACAGGACATCAGCAGGGATTACCCAGAACAGATGCGGGTCGTGCTTGGGGAGGCTTGTGGCCATAACAGGCATTGACCAAGTCCTGGCCAGGTTAGGGTCACTACCAGGGAGTTTCAGAGGAACGCTGTGCTGTCATGGTTGACACAGGCCCTGTGGTGGGGCCGGTCCCTGCACTGGACATTTGGACTTCTTCTAAATATTTCCCGTGACAGATGACACCATATGGCAAATCTTTGCGCCCAGGGCCTGTTTCATTTTTCAAGCTCTTTAGAAAAAATAAAGGGATTACTGGATAGAGGGTTGACACTTTTCTTCTTTTTTAGTGATAAGCTCTGGTAGCCACTGGCCCTGCTCTTGCAGCTCTTGTGGGGCCCCCACTCTGCACGTTGGAGCCAGTGGAGATTCTGAGAAAAGCCCTGTGAACCACACGATTTTGTCCTCAGAACATACACGCCCTCTGTGTTGTGCATCTCCTCCGTCAGTGGGCGTGTTGATGTCTGGGCTGGAAAGGGCCTTTCGCCTAATGGGAAGCCCAAGTCTTCGCACAGCAATTAGTGATCTGTTGCAGTGCCAGTTGCCAGCACACAGTGTTTGTTTGGGCTGTGGTCTCTTCCGTTCATTACGGTGATTACAGCCCGTCAGTGTGGCAACCTTGCAGTTCTCTGCTATTCCAAGCAGGGGCCTGCGCTGACCTGACTTGTTTTTTCTATCCAGTTGTCACAATGGGAGCCCAGGGTTTGTTGTAAGCCTGACTTGTTTTTTCTATCCAGTTGTCACAATGGGAGCCCAGGGTTTGTTGTAAGCCAGCCAGTCTCCTCTACAAATGACTTCTCACCACCCACAGGCAGGGCATAGGGGTAAGAGCCCAGGGTAGGTACAGAGACCAGTTCGCCCGATGTCACCTATCTGGAGGTCTGGATCCAGCAGGAGAAATGGGACCACACAGGCTACTGGTCTAGGAAGCCAGAGAGAAACAGTGACAGGGCAGAGAGGAGGCGGCAGTGGGTAGTGATGGGGATCCACAGAGAAGGAGGGCTGCAGACCCCAGTTCTCTGTGGGGCTTCCTGGCTGAGGCAGAGGGCAAAGCAGCCTTGCAGTCTCACACTCCTTCACAGACTTGGGACGAGGTTTGTGTGAGAAATATTTCCCATTTGCTGCCTCCATGAAAACAGCAGTCCAGATGCTGGAGTTGATGTGGGAAGACATTAAGAATGGAGTGGCTTGTGGCGACCCGGGACCTGCTGACCTGTCTCATTAGGCTGCTTTGCTGACTGCTGCCTTGCAGGAAGGTGGCCTGTGGTTGCCAGCTCCTCAGATATTTCCAGCTCAGCTGGAACCTGGGTTGTATATAAAATCTTAAGAATTTAGTTTGTTTGGAGACCTGAGGATGGTCAGTCTGGGCAGGATTTGCTTTGTGAACCAGACCTTTGCTGGCTGGGTTGGAAGAGCTAAGTATCAGTGCCCTGCTCTTGGCCCTTGGTCTGCTGTGATGTGGCAGGGAGGTTGGGTACACAGCCCCTCAGCCTGACTTGCACCCTGGCTCCAGGCGACAAGCCTGGGCAGGATTCCCTCCTGGCTGCAGAGTGCGGGTGCATCTGGTGGCTGGGCCCTGCTGACCCTGCTGTTCCCATTACAGATCGAGATGGCCATCCTCCGGTTCCCTTATGAGTCCTGGGGGACCCCGTTCCAGCAGCTGAAGCAGGTGGTAGAGGAGCCGTCCCCTCAGCTCCCAGCTGACCGTTTCTCTCCCGAGTTTGTGGACTTCACTGCACAGTGGTGAGTCTCTGGTGCTGCTGAACTCCAGGCAACAGCCCCCTGCCCTGGCCAGATTCCACCTCCTTCCTGGGTCTTGTCCCCTTCTCCCTTAGCAAATACCCCAAACAACATGGCATCAAAATACGTCAGGTAGAAATAGAGCATAAGGAAAATTTGATAAAACCATGGTCCTGGTGGGAGATTTTAATACAGTTCTTCCAGAAATGGACAGATCAGGGAGACTAAAAAAGAAAAAAACATAAAAAACAAGTTTGCTTTTATTGATGTCTAGAACTTTTTAACAGATTGAAGACTACCCACGGGAGCCTTATAAAACTTAACCCTTTGCACTCAGAGACATCTCACAGATCACCTACCAGCAGCAACTCAACGGCACTTTTTTATGAAATAGTGAACAATGAATCATTTCATATTAAGTAGCATAGCGTTGGAACCAGTTATTTTATTGTCATGATATTTGGCTTATAACAGAATTTGGGACATTGAGGAACTTATGACAAAAAAAAAATCTAAATTTTATCTCTTATATTTTTCTAGCATGTGGTAACGTGAAACAGTTACAAACATGCGTGCAGGTTCATTGATACATGTGGTACAGTGTTAATTTGTTTTTTCTTCTACATGGTGTTTTTCTATTCAAGCAGACAGTGCAGTCTCCTTTTCTTCCTTCCACATGAATAATACGCAGTTTGTTGTCCAGTCTGTTGTTCTAAGATGTGGAAGGACACACTCATGATTCCTAAAACCCACTTCTCAATGGATCAATCATATCTCAGTATACAGTTCATCTCTTTATTTGCTTTTTTGTGCAGTTTGAGTGGAAAACTTCAAGGAAACATACACTTTTGAAAAATTTGTGCTGGTATAAGTTTGTCCTGTATAATCACCAGCAGTCTCTTTATGTTCCCTGAAAGGGGACATCTGAGTGCAAAGGGTTAATCACATTTCAGTTTACAAAGGAAATAAGGAAAAAGGCAAAGTCATACAGACCATGTTCTCTGATCATAATTAAATAGAACAGGAAATCATTAAAAAGGAAAAAGCTATATGGAAATGAAAAGTAAATTCTAAATAACTCTTACGTTATGAGAGGTTTAAAAAAATAAGCTTACACACTATTTAGAAGTGAAAGACAATGCAGACATAACAAATCAGCATCCGGATATCATAGGCAAAGAGCTACTCTGAGGATAATTCATAGCCTTTATTCCTTTTATTAGAAAATAAGAAAAATTGAAAACACATGAGCCCAGCAAAGTCATTGGTGAGCTTGACCCTTTGAATTGGGGACTTCCCTCTTCCAGGACCCTTGGTATCCTGACTGAGGATACAAAGTATATGATTGTCAGGCAGAGCATTTTGGTAGCATTTCAGTGTTGGTAGCATGGAAATTCCCTAGATCACAATGGAGATAAGAGAACTAGGACCCCAAGAACCAGAAAGAGTCGTGCAAGTTGTTTGTCCCTTGGATCGTCCTCCACCCTGGGAGACCCCCTGGGTGGTCCTGCTCTTTCTTCCTGGAGCACGTGTTCCCTGCTGCCCAGTCTGGGGCGAGTTCAGCCTGGCTCGGGTGGCCCACACAGGCTAGGCTTGCTTCCTCTCTGCCCATCTGGCCTCAGCTGCCCTGTTCTCTCCTAGCCTGAGGAAGAACCCGGCGGAGCGCATGAGCTACCTGGAACTGATGGTGAGTGTGGGTGGGAAGGTATTTTCCCTGCTGTCTCTTCAGCCGCTGGGCAGGGCTCTCTGGGGGAGAGGGCTGCTTCCCCACACACAGATGGGCAGCTCCTCTGGCTGGCCTCTTCATTTACGCTTTTAGGTGCTTGGTCACTTGTTCACTCACTCATACCTGGCTGCCTCCTCCCTCCACACCAGGCCTGGGAATGGTGCACAGGCAGAGTGAGACAGAATGGGGCAGAGTGGCCTCCGGGAAGGCATCACAGAGGAGCTGCCATTTGAACTGAGCCTAGAAGGATGAATAAGGGTTATCTACTGGTGGTGGAGAGGGCGTTCCAAGCAGAAAGGCCAGCGTAGACAAAGGCCTGGTGTGTGTGGGAAAAGGGAGGTCAGTGTGGATGCAGGGTGACTGCAAGGTGGCTGAGGAGGAGCCTTGCCGGCCATCTTTGACAGGCACGGAGGGCTTTCTGGGGGTGGAGGTCATAGAAGGGTGAGTAGGGGTTTTCTAGGCAGGAGGAGTCCTCAGGCTGGGACTCGTAGGGCAGGAAGGTGCGCCTTCCCCGTAGCCCACCCTTTCCACAGTGACTGTGCCTTTGTCTCCCCAGGAGCATCCCTTCTTCACCTTGCACAAAACCAAGAAGACAGACATCGCTGCCTTCGTGAAGGAGATCCTGGGAGAGGACGCATAGGAGGCTGGGCCTCAGACCCCACTCCGGCCCTCCAGAGCCCCCACCCCTCTGCTGGGGCAGTGCTCACCCACACCTATAAGCTACTGCCATCTGGCCCTCGGCATCCAGGAGGAACCGAGGGGCTGCCCCTGCCTGGCTCTGCAACGAGCCGCTTGTCCGAAGTGCCAAAGAACCAGACCATCAGGGGCTCCCAGCTGGGCCCACACGGGCCCCACCAGTGCCTCACCTGCTGCTCCAAGGGCCCCGAGTCTCCAGCTGCTGAGACCCTGGACTGAGGGGCCTGGATGCCCCTTGCAGGACGCTGCTACCCCTTGCAGAGAAGTCTGCCAGTGCCTGTTGGACAGGCTGCTGCCTGGCCTGGCGAAATATGTTGTATATTTTTTTTAAATCTCTTGACTGAATGGACTTTGCACACTTTGGCCCAGGGTGGCCATACTGTGTCCTGGCCCTGGTGTGGGGGACACAGCAGGGGGATGAGCCATGTGAATTCCCCCGAGACTCCCACATGGGGATGCCGTGAGCCGCCCAGGGCCTTCTCCAGCACTGGCCGACAGGGCTTCTGAGGGGCACGCCTGGTCACCTCATCCTGCCTGCCACCTCTAGGGATGTCGTGGCACCTTTTTTTTCCCTTAACTTATCCTCTTGATTTTTTTTTCTCTTGCTTTGTGGGTTTGGCTTGTTTTTCTTGTATGGTTTGGAGCTGATCACTTCTCTCCCATCCCCTAGGGCACCAGCAGGCTGAGACTCTGCCCTCTGCTCAGGCAGGGGTCTGGGGGAGGGGCCAAGGTCTCTGCTCAGGGAGGTGCCAGGGAACCTTCCAACTCACTCTCCCTGGGGACTGGCTTGACAGAGGCTAAGGATTTGCTTTGGTGGTGTTTGAAAAAAAAGAAAATATATTTTTTTGAAGAAGAAACTGCCCAGCTGGGTCCTTTCTCTGATGGGGTGGGGGTGGTTATCTGGTGGTGGTTTTAATTTATAAAAAAAAGGTAGGACAAAAGGTTGTGTGAGACTGTTTGAAAACAGAGAGCCCCACTCTCTTTGGGAAAAGTCTGTGGCCGCTAGAAGGACCCTTTGCCTCTGGGCCAGAGCAAGTGGTATGCCCAGGGCAGTGGGGGCCCCTTCCCATCCAAGGACACCAAGGCTCCCAGAGGGCTGTGATGAGTGAGCACGCTGTGACCACCCAGGTGTCAGGCCTGCACGGGATGCTGGACAGAGCAGCAGACACACAGGCCCAGGCCCCTGGTGGTAGGTGGTAGCTGCCGTCCCACCTCCTGGAAGAGTGACAGCAGCCAGAGGCACAGAGCGCCGAGCACCCTGGGCATTGTCCCAGTGTTGTGCATGGTCACTGCATTGAGGGTGTTATGCGATCCCCTGTTTACAGATGATAAAACAGGCCCAGGGTGCTGAAGTAGCATGACCCAAGCCACACGGTTTGTAAAATGGAGAAACAGATTCGGGGACAGGCAGTGGACCCCAGAGAAGGCTCTGAGGGGCGTGGTGAAGACCACCTTGCCAGGTGAAGGCTGGGGCAGAAGCCCTCCTGCAGACTTAAGCAGAGGGACAGTTTGCTCTTGTACTTGGCGTGTCCGTTGGGTCCAGGAGCTCAGTTAACATCCTGAAGGAGTTGTGTCCACCTTCGCTCTGTTCTCTGTTTCACACTCCCCGTGACACACAGGACCCAGAGGCTCCCACCAGCTCGGCAAATGGCCCAGAGCCCGCCCAGAGTCCCGAGGCTGGCTCTTTCTGACTAGGAAGGGGACACATGCTTATCCCCAGGCTCGGAGGGTGGAGTATGACTTTCCAGGCCCAGGTGGCGTCAGCTCACCGCATCTTACGGGCTGAAAGCAGGGACTCTGGGAGAGTGTGGGTGGGCACCGGTCCCCATGGTGCCTGTTCTCCACTTTCCCATCCTCCAGCCCTGGACTGGGACAGGCCTCTGCCCTTTAGCCTAGCCCTTTCCTGGCGCTGGGCTCGATCGTTTCAGGGCACATTTTTCTCCCTCGATCCTTCAGCCATGAAGGGTTGGTCTCACCTGACCTTTGCTGACTATACCCCCTGCCTAGAACATCCCCTCTTCCGTCTTCCTGTGACTGATTCCCCTCACCGTTCTGGGTCTCCCATGTCACCTCCTCAGGGAGGTCCTCCAGGACCACCCTGGCTAGAATAACCTCCCCCCACCTGACCCAGCCAGTCTAGCTAATTC